GCAGGGGCACTTCACAGTGCGGCGAAAGTCGTACGCGTCGCGAGGGGGCTGGCATCATCGAGAGCAACAGAACCCCTGACCCGAATAACACGATGAAGACGTGGCCTCACCGAGGTCCGCGTCTTCGCATCAGGGATAATACCTACATCTGGGCGGTTTGGCCCAGTGTTTTTGGCCCTCCTAATTTGTGTCATCTCCCAAAGGCTGAGGGATTCATTTATTGCTTATCATGGCAGGGCACCCGCCTGATACAGGGGACTCCCTGCAGATCCTCCCTCAAGCAAGCGCTGGGGCCCCACCGTCTTCGCCCAGCTGCAGCCGCGTCGGCTACTAAGGCAACACCAACGTCTTCTCGAAGGCCAGCATGCTTGCGGACGCATGGCCAGCATTGGATGCCAACCTCGTCAAGGCGAACGACGTGTCCGCACCTCCAAGTGCAAGTTGTGGGCCCCGCTGTGCGGCGACGTGCCGGACGACATGCTGCCGCAGCACGTCCGCTGCTTGGCAGCGGCGGTGCCGAGGACGCGCGACGGCCTCGTCCTCCTGGGCGGCGCCGTGGACGGTGAGCTAGCGGTCCAGGCGGGCAGGGCTGGCATTCTGCTGCAGCCTGCCGTGTCGCGGGCGCAATAGGCGACCCGCTTCGTGGAGTGCATCCGGGAGTTCACAGCGGCCTATCCCGCCATCGCATCCATGCACTTGATTTGGTTCGTGGTGTTTGCGTAGTTTTCTCATCCTTTTTCTTCCGACGCGCGCTTAGTGCCTTCCCATGCGCTGGGCGCCGTGGTCGAACCTGTGAGCAGCCGGGCGGAAGAGATTATCCAGGAGATTGTGTTCGGGAAGCGCATGCCAGAAGAGTCTGTCACGGAAATGCGGCTCTCGAGAGCGTTCGGCGGGATGGGCTTGCGTCGCGAGGCGGAGGGCGTCATGGCAGGCGCAGCGCTGTGGGCGGCCTGGGCCTCGATATGCGCACGCGGGTGCCTGCGGTGGCTGCCGGCGCTGGATTCGCCATATTTTCCCCGCTGCGGCGGGGCGGGAGGCCCGAGAGTGCACGGCAGCGTCTGGCCGCCCAGGGCGCCATCGTTGATCTCGAGGGCGGGGTATTCGGTGGCAGGTCACGGGAGCCTGGTTTTCCCTCGTGCTTCCTTTAGAAGCGTCGACTGGCGTCGAGAAGCGTCTTGGAGTCGCTGGGAGAGCACCGACTTTGGCGTCGGCTGGCGTCGATTCGGCGTCGATTCAGCGTCGATGAGCGTCGCTTCGTCGGCCAGCGCCGATCTCGCAGGAGCCGACGAGCTGGCACGGGAGGCTCCTGGAAAGTCGCCGCCGAAGGGCTTCAGCATGCGCCGGAGGCGGCGGAGAGGAGCACGCCGGCGGCCCTGTCGGGCGGAGGGCGCGGCCAGGGCTAGGTCGGGCATGTCCCCCCCCCCCCTGAGGCGGATTTTTTTGGCGAAACGTAAAAAGAAAGTAGCAGAACAAAACGACGACGAGTGCCAAACAGTAATCGAAGAATCGTCCCCAGACTATTTTTCTACTATTTTGGAGTATTCCTCCCGTGGAGGGACAGGCCGGACGTCGTGCCAGGACCGAGCGTGGCCTTGCGCGACGGCCGCCAGAGGCGCGCGCTGTGCAGGCGGCCGGCCGGCGCGTGGGAGGCTGCCAGAAGTTGCCGCCGAAGGGTATCGGCACAGGCGCCCCATAGAGGCGGCGGAGAGGGGCACGCCGGCGGCCCCGTCGGGCGAAGGGCGCTGCCAGTGCCAGGTCGGGCATGTCCCCCTATGCAGGCGGATTTGGGGTGAGAACTACGCAATAGTCAAACACGTATTCAAACATGGTCCAAACAGAGCAGTGGAAACATCGTCCCCGTATTCTAGTTGTTGCCAACAAATTTCTCAAAAATCTAGACAATCGTCCCCGGAGTATTTTTGGACTATCTTTGCATATTCCTCCTGTGGAGGGACAGGCCCGGCTTAAAGGCCAGGAGCACCGAGGCGACGCGCCGGCTGCCGCCTCCCCAGCGCCTCGGCGCGCGTTGGCGGCGACCCGCCTATGGCACATGCTGGGCGCCGAGCGGCGCGACGCAGCGGAGGAAGTCGGAGGAGGAATAGGTACCCCTACCCGTACCCTCCCCTCGTCTTCCCCTTTTTGGGCCTCGTGGGCATCCGTCGTCGCCACCGCTGGAATCGCCTCGAAATCCTGGTCAGACCGCACCCCAGGAGAGGCCCGGGGAGTAGCGGTATCGGTACCTTTTGGCGTCCCCGGGAAGAGGTGCCCATACCTCTACCCTTCGCTTATGATGTGCCATCCTACTTCAGCCTTGGCCACCAGAAGTAATGTCGAGCACCAAGGAAATACCGAAACTGGAGGGTCTTCACGTGTCGGGCCCTGGAGGCGATATGCGTTCGACACTGTTTCGATACTTTCCTGGGTGCTCGAAATTATTTATGGGATGTGGTCCTTCAGTGCGATGGGAGCAACATAACCCTTCGCTCGTGTTCCCCTTTGT